TCCGTACGCAGCAGCACAGTATTGTTCGGAGCGAACAGTGTCCCTGATACCCAGCTTGGGCCCCCATTGTTGCAGGCTTCTAAGGCCAGGATGTTTTGGCCCGCCAGCAGATCGACAGAAATGAAGGTCAGCGCCCCAAAACTAGGAGCTTTGAGAAGGTTGTTCACAAACAGTGTACCATTATCGTCAGCTCTCAGATGGAAAGTCGCGTTGGTAACGGGATCTGGTGTGTAGTAGGACTTGTAGAAATACTTGCACTCGTAATCCGGTGGACAAGTCCCCCCCGTGCAGTAAGCGTAAGGATAAGACCAAATTACAATGACATTTGGATCCGTCGTAAAGTTCATTCTTACAGATTGGCCGAAGAAAGTGCTGACACCTGCATGCATTTGCATTACACACACGTTTTTGTTGATGTTGGTGTTGTGTTGTACGTGTTTACAAACTATTTTTTTTTGTCGTCTTAAGTTAGATGCGTATCCTAGGATAACAGATAGGGATAGTCCGTATTTTTTATACCAGGGCACGGTCCGTAAACGGTAAAAGTGTTTCACAGACGACTCCTTCTAGAAGATCTTGCGAATTGTGTCAGGCAAGATGTTATGTTTACGGGAGCGGCCGCAGTCACCGATGGACGATTAGCTATCACCTATTTTTGCTTCTTTATTTTTTTGAATTCTTTTCATTGGAGGACCTATTTGGCTCACGCCTCTTTTAGTGGTTATGGGTCCCTTTGATGTCGCTTTTGGTCGCGCTTTTGGCTGTCTAGATGACTTTGCGTTGTCTCATTTGGGTGGGAGTCTTGTTTGTCTTGTTCGTCTCTAGTGCAGTGCACGGCCAGCTGGCCCGCTGGCTCTACTCTTCGTGAGTCTGGAGCCCACATGTAACTTTGGACGCCTAGCTAGGCGATGTGCTATAGCACATCGGGCCCGGGCTTGGGGCCTCCGACTTGACCTTGCAAGTGCATAGATAAATATCTTATCGTTTTCCGCAGTGCAATGAAACGTTCCCGTGACTTAGCGGCGGGTTGGTGCGGATTAAAAATACCTTAATCCGTGACTTTTAATCCAAGTGGAAACACCCCCTTTGTCGTTGTTCTGATTTTTCTTGTTATGTGTTGTAAGTCTTTTTTTACGTTTTTATGTTTTTTCTTTTTTCTTCGTGGGACTTCTTTGAATGGTGAACAATCGAATGGGAATTGTAGCATTATTAAGCCAGACGCAGCCAGAAGAAGTGTAGTGGCTGGCCGCTGAAAAGGCCTCTTAATTAAGATGCCGGTGGAGCGTCGTATGGACGAGATGTGCGCCATACTATCTACAGCTACTGTTGCCCTAAGTTGTTATGGGATGTAACATATATTGACAAGTCGCAGTCCGACCGACAAAATTAAGGAAGGTGCGTATCAGGGTTCGACACTGACCTTCCTGAAACTTGCGGGCTCCCCCGTACCTCCCAAATTTTCCTTACGGAGGGGCCCCCGTACCAGGCTCCTGTACCGGCCGAAAACCTTACAGGGCCCCCGTAACCCCCGCAAAACCTTTACGGGGGCACTGTCCTTGGCTGAAACGCTGTGGAAAGTGACGCTTTGCATTTTTTTGCCCTGTAAATCGTTATTTTCGTTATTTTCTCGTAAACCATTACACTCGGGGACACGGCACACTCAGTGAAAGCCAAGCGCCTTGGCCGCCGCGGCCGCCTATCCCTTCTGCTCCGCAACATGATCTTCACCCGATACGTCCGTACTGCTATCTGACATAATACTAAAGAATGGGTTTTCACGGATTCGAACAAGCTGGGCGGCAAGGATGACTTCGCTCAGAACGCGCACAGCCGTGACGAAATAGCGGTACCGGTTGTACTTGAAGTGGATGCCCGGAAGCCCAGCCGCCGTTAGCATGAGAAGCATGCTCGGCAGCTTAAGCATGGGAATATGTGCCGTACGGCCTCTTATAAATCCTTAAAATCCTTACGGGGCCCCACGTAACCGGCCTTCGGCCGGTCCGGGGGCGGCCCCGTACGGGGGCGCTTCACGCCCCAAAATCCTTACGGGGGCCACTGTAAAGTCCTACGGGCCCTTACGGGGATACCGAAAAAAGGCCAAAAACTTACGGGCCCCGTACGGGGTGTCGAACCCTGGTGCGTATACTTTGAATATTAATTCCGCCAGCAGTCATTAAAAGTCCGTGATGCAAGGCGAGGTGGCGAACTAACGTTGTTATATTGGGTATTACACCCACCGATTTGTATCGATGTCATCCTTGACTAAATCAACTGCCACACGTACATACATATGCACATACCCCTCTTCGCGCCCGCTACCCGGTCTTGATGTGGGTAGAAGAATCCAGGGATGAGCTG